CTGCACCATTAACGGCCGAAGATATCGTACGAGCAGAACGGCACCTTTTGGGGTGGAGTCAGCTGAACACCTTTAAAGAAGAAGTCCATAGTCTCCAACATAAGCGACCTATCTCTAGCAAAAGTCGGCTCACCATATTATCTCCGGTACTTAAAGACGGTCTGCTGCACCTTGCCGGAAGAACATCAGCAGTTTCTAACATTCAGCCTATAATCCTTGACGGCAAAGATTTAGTAACCAGGCTCCTCATACATCGTTACCATCAAAAATTTGCTCATGCCAATACAGAAACCATCATCAACGAGTTGCGTCAGGAATATTGGATTCTCGGTTTAAGAAACGCAGTTCGCTCGATAGTTCGCGGCTGCCAACAATGCAAGATGCTCAAGGCACCAGCGCTTCAACCACCAATGGCAGACTTACCCGATGTACGGCTTGCACATAACCAGCGCCCCTTCACTCACACTGGGCTTGACTATTTCGGGCCTATGATGGTCGCTATTGGGCGCAGGCGGGAGAAGAGATGGATAGCATTATTTACCTGCCTCGTTACTCGGGCAGTCCACCTCGAAATCGTTGCCAGCTTGTCCGCAGACTCTGCTATTATGTGCTTACGTCGGTTCATCGCTCGTCGAGGTTCTCCCAGTACCATCTACTCCGACAACGGGACTTCATTCATTGGCGCCAACCGAGAGCTTAGAGCCCTTTTCAATCCACTGGTGTCAGACTTCGTAGCTGACAAGAAAATCTCCTGGCACTTCATTCCCCCTTCCGCGCCTTTCATGGGAGGGGCTTGGGAGCGACTGGTCAGGAGTGTCAAGTCTGCCCTGAAGGTAACATTGAAGGAGCGGGCACCACGGGAAGAGGTTTTGGCAACTTTGCTGGCTGAAGCTGAGGCAGTTGTGAACGCGCGGCCGCTAACCCACGTATCACCAGACGCTGACTACCCGGAGGCTCTCACGCCAAATCATTTTCTCATAGGAGATTCTTCGGGCCGTACTTTTCCTAATGAAGAGCTCACAGACGCAGCGTTGGTGGGCAGAAGCAGTTGGCGGAAGGCCTTACGCTTGGCCGATCATTTTTGGCGTCGGTGGGTTCGCGAATATCTGCCTACCCTGGCTCCCCGCCGCGTACTGGGTACAGATGTCGCAATTAAGGTTGGGGACCCGGTACTCATTGGTGACGGCAATCTACCGAGGGGCACCTGGCCACGAGGCGTGATTGCGGCTCTGTTTCCGGGACGTGATGGCGTAGTTAGGGTGGCAGACGTGCGTACACAGGGGGGCATAATGCGGCGGCCGCTTAAAAAACTGATACTTCTTTAAAAAGGGGGAGCATGTCCCTGAATGGGACCTTTTTGATACATTTTTGTTTATGGTTTATATTTATTTTTTATAATGTTTTTGTTCATTATCGATTCCTTTGGTTTTTTTTGCAATATATGTCACAAGAAAAAGACGTATTTTTATTTGCTAAAAATTCTTTAAAAAATAACGGCTAAATAGTATTATCAGTCGTTAACAAGTGGTGGCAAGACGAGAAGCTATCAGCGCACCTTGTAGCTCTAGACGCGGTATCGAAGCGGGCTTAAGTGGCGTGAATCTGAATTTAATATATTTCGCACAATATGCCGTTTCTTCTTTTTTAATGCCGACATTGTTTTGTTTTGTAGGTACTGCTCATCTATTACGCGCGAAAACGCAAATTAAAACAAAATAAATATTGGGTTGTTTATATAACAGCATAAACAGCACGCACCGAGAGGAATAAAACAAACATGCATAAACTCGTTTATCTCATTCGATCCTTAATCGTACTTAACAAGTATTATATGAACCAGCCGATTGATACAGGAATTCACAATTTTAACACGATTGCCCTTGGTCAACTATCTACGAAAATTCCCCATTCCACATATCCCTACTGACAAATCCCCACTGGTAGGGATACTAGGATTTTTTTTTCAATTATAGCTACCGGTAGGGATATATGGAATCTGTTACTCCACATATCTCCATCGATTTACACTGGTTGGGATACTTGGATTTTTATTTAAATTTATCGCTACCAGAAGGGAAAAAACTTTTTTAATATTAGGTATGGAATATTAGTGTTCATAAAATAAAACGTAAGTCATGAAAACGAAGGTAAATTTGTAAACAATGTTAGTCAAATTTGATTGATTGATTAATATCGCAATAAAAACAAACACATAAAACAAAAATGAATGAACATATATAAGGCGGCCTTATTAATAGGGTAGCAATTTATACCAGGCAACCTTTGGCTAACAGAAACCACACCAACCAAGAACAATTATAGCGGGTTAGTGCATTAAATTAATAAATAAACTTAACAAGAAAAAGAGAGGAAAAAAGGAACAGATTTTTATTTTATGAACACTTAATATGCCATACCTAATATTTAAAAACTTATCCCTAACTGGTAGCGACAAATTTAAATAAAAATCTAAATATCCCAACCAGTGTAAATCGATGGAGATATGTGGAGTAACGGATTCCATATATCCCTACCGGTAGCTATAATTGGAAAAAATCTTAGTATCCCTACCAGTGGGGATTTGTCAGTAGGGAAATGTGGAATAGGGGCGAAAATTACCTATCTAGGAATACTAATAAGTATAATATGCGAAAGTATGTCGGTTTATTTGCCTCTGCCTCTGCTTTTTTTGTGTTTGTTTGTGTCTACTTTCATTTCGAAACGGAGCAACCGATTGACATTTTTATTTTGTATATTCAATAAGATCTTTAGGAACCATATGATTGAATGTTGGTCCCTAGTGTGGTCACCACTTTAGGAACCTGAAGGTTGAATGTTGGGTCCCTAACTGTGGTGATGGAGACAACTGGTCAGGGAGACTAAAGGATAATTGTCTCCCTCCGAGCTAGGTGTTGTTAGCCCGGGGACCGCGGTCCACTGTGCGATGTAGGTTTCTTTGTTCTAAATGTCTTGTAGTATTAATTTATGATGTTCGTTTCTGGTACAGCGCCATCTCGTTACTTGCTGTTGAAACTTATTGCAGTTCGTCTTGCTATTGATGGCTGTGACGATGCTATTCTTCTCGCTACCGATTATTGTGGCGATGTTACTGCGATGAATTAGATGTCGCTTATATCAGTCGCCACAGATCGAATCGAGTTTGGGCAATCTCTTAACTAATATTAGTTGATGTTTACAAGTTGAAGTTGAGAGTCGAGAGCTCATGCAGTCGATGTCTAAAAGGGCTCCTAGCTAAATGAAATTACAAATCACCCACCTCCCAAGCCTCTACACTCTTCCCGCCCCTCTTCACGCATGCAACGCCCACATGGGGGCGTTATCGCTCACTTTAGAAAGGCTGCTTTAAACCAATGACCGCTGTGAGTACATCACGTGCGGGCCCTATCGACCAATGTAAATGAGCTTTCAGTAGTGGATAAACCAATGGCAGGCAACGATCGCCTACTAAAAATAAGTACAGAAGTCGGTCGCATGTGGACCCTACCGACCAATGAAAATAAGCTTGTCCTGGTCGATAAGCCTTGGAACTCTTATGGATTCGTCAACGTCATGTCTGTCTGTATGTGCACCCGGCTATTAGCATTATACCTATAATAGTAATTAGGTATTTCATTTGGTTATTTTGTGGTTAGGCTGCATCGAGACTAAGTAGATGCATATCTATTAAACGCTTTAAGATTTTTTCGTTTCCCATATTTATAAATATTTTATTAACGCTTTTTAATGTTTTATTTTAATACATGTGAACAATAAGATCTAGATTTTTTTAGTGCCCTTCATCGAGTAATACACAAAACGCGATTGTAAGATGCAAGCGATGCTAAAAAAAATTAAATACCCCCCGATAAAAAACTAAGTTTCCTTTAAAAAGTAAAAAAATAATAAAAGAAACTCAAACTTAAAGTACATAAATATGTATTAATAATCTTTAAAAAATATATGTCGCGTTGGGGGACATATTAAATTGTTAGATTTGGAGCGGTAAAATAAAACAATAAATAAACCAAAATAATTTAAGAATAATTAGAAACTGACTGTCAAAGTATTGGCGCCTTACTATTTTATGCTAATATATAACGCGTGTGATGCACATTATGGTTTAAAATCGAATGGGGGGTATAGACTTTTGTTTAGTATGACGTGCTGATGCCTGTACAGAAGGTTATAAAAATAGGTAATTCAATAAAAATCACTTTATAGTTTAAAAAAAGCATGTTACACTATTTATTTATGACTAAACTGAAAATATCTCCTGATAATTATATCTTTATAATGCAACACTAATGTGCACAGCTATTTTACATGAATTTAACGAAATAAACTGATACATCTAATTATACCAATAGTTTACCCTCAGCTCGCACATTTCGTCACCTTTTGTTATTTTAATTTTGAAAAATTTATCAAATAACTGTCAGTACATAATTATCAATAATTTTATGAATGAGAGGTGAAATCTACACACAAGAGAATAGAAGAAAACTATATTATATATGTACACAATTGTAAAACTTTCTGAGACAAGACAGTTTTAAGTGTTCATAAAGAGAAAATTTAGATTAGCTGCATTTTAGGGTGTTGCTGGTAAATATATAAAGTAATAAACATTTGCCATAAAACCATTATGTTGTTTGCATGAAAGTTAAGAAATTCTGGACTGGTCAAACTAAACCAATGGAAAAACATGGTTCTCAGACAGATGGCAAATAATTTTAATTTGTAAACATCTGTACCAGTTCTATATATTAGTGACATCTAAATTATTTTTAAATATATAAGTATACATAAGCTCAATTTTCTCTAATATATTATTTTCAAGATATGAGCAAATGAGAGATATAATTGAAATGAAATAGTACCTTAATAAGTAATTTGTACAATGCCAATAGGTACCTATTATACATAGATATATTTGCTGCAGTGACCAGGATTTTAAGTAAACACATTTTGCACACAAATCAATGTGGAATTATAAGTTTTTAGTAACATTTGCTTAAACAATTTTATACATAAAGTGGTGTTTTGTTAGGCACACAATACAAGGAGATCTGTTTGGTAATTGCAGTCTGTTTGTAACATTGCCTACCCATCAAACTGCATGCAATACAATAATTTGTATTTCTATACAAGATCCTCATATGGTAATAAATTCAATCTATGTAATTTTAACACTGAAAAAAATAAAGATCTCATATTCATACATTTTGCATTAAGCTTATTGCTCTATTTATCAGATCAGTCTGTTAGCACAGGTAGCTTGGAGCTATTCTAATTAACTGAGTTAACGCTATATTATTATTACAATAATGTAACATGACACTAAGTCACTTTACAGTTAATGATTTTATGCAAAATAGCTGCTCATACCAGTGCGAGGTTGTCCGTTGGGGAAACCGCAATGTCCAATACAAATTTATATTATACAATAAAGTAATGGAATTTTATGACATGTTTTAGACATATACAATGTATGACGCAATACTTCTTCACTATGTCACATTCAAGTTTAAAGTCTAAGGTCATTCATGGGGTAATGTCAATGTTAATTAAGTGATGGAGAGTGGCCATCATCCCACACAACGTCAATACTGGGCCACTTGGTCTGTAGGCATGTGAGCATGGGGTCAGTACTGGCAGCTCGCATTGGACATTCCAAAAGGGCCGCACGACCTGTGCGGTAAACTACTCTGCCACCGGGATTGCTGCGAGATAGTCCATTATAATGATGCAATGTAAATGTGTCAGGGGCACCCCTCTCACAACCAGGAAAGAATTCATCCATGAAAGCACTTAGTAATATTATACCCAAATTTTCAGAGTCTAATTTTCTTCTCATCAATTCAACATATTCAGGTTCACTCACAAGATCTGCTGCACATAACACATCTTGAAGTGCAGCAGATGGAATAAAATTATTACCCTCAGGATCAAATGAACGAAAGATACGTTCTGCAGACTCTCCTGCTGTTTCTGGTGCAGCCAACCTTCTCTCCAAAGAAAATAGGACAGTTAAATGTGTTTCTGATGCAAGCACCCAGACAGGGTGCTTTGGGTTTTTGTAAAATGAACCAACAGTACAATACTGCATATGCTCCATTATCGTTAAAAAACCAATATCATTTTGTCTCTCTATTCCTCTCAGCCGTAGCCCTCCGACTACTTGGTCATGATCCCAAACATGAGCCACTGCACGTCCTGTTAACATCAAGTTGATAAGGCCTTGAGAACCGTACCCGTATGTAGAGTGGATTAGAGGGTCAGAAAGTTCAGCAAGTTCGGTTTCTACTGTGCTAACTCCCTTGCTAAGTATCACACTATATAGAAGTAACAGGACACCATATTTGTCTTTCAGAATTCTAATATTTCTTGTATAAAAGGCTTCCACTTCAGACAATGTTTGAAAAGGATGCACTTCAATCCGTCGATGGAACTGTTCTATAGAATCACATGACTGTTCTTCGACACTGACATTGTGGCCACTGCTACTCTCAGCATCTGTTTCAGTTTTACGATGCACAGCCACATTGTACTTAGGAGCTAGACACTGGCTTAATATTGTACACACAGCCCTAACAAGAAGAGAGTTGCACTTCTCTGAAGTCAAGTCCTGAAAACTGTGTCCTGGTGTCTCTGACAATAGGATTTTGAGCAAGAAGCCTTGAACAGGCGCAATAGCAGCACAGGGCCCACCCTCCTGTTGGATGAGCGCGCTAGGTTCGTCAGGGCTGAACTGAAATCCTTGTGCCCATCGCCGAAACACGTCTTCTTTCACATGCTCGCCCCATAGTAGACGCCGAGTGCTCGCCAACTCGCGCTCCACACTTGTACTACCAGCGCTCATATTACCTTAATTTTTCAATGATATAACAGAACTATTTTAATTTCGATTTCGTTCGATCCGTTACACATTACCATACACAGTTTGTTCAAAGGCTACCCCACCTAAAAATAAAATAATATAATTAAAATCTATGCACCATAAACATCAATGAACTGACAATTTTGCTTTAGAATGTTGATAGTCGACATTTAGACGAATAACATTTATTAGATTTTTTTCTAAAAATCTAACCACGTAGTACATAATTGGAATACAAAGTCCTTAACTTACACCATCTGATAGTTATTTATTTACTTGATGTAGCAAGCAAACCATCTGTATTGCTTCAAAATCATTATATGTTACCCATAAATAGTTAATAAAAACTTTCCATCACATTACAAACGAAAAGCTTACGACATGAAGGAAGGCTGCCATTTTTAGGAAAAATAGTAGATTTTTTTTTTTCAAAATAAAAGATATTATTGTTTGTATTTAACTGAAAATAGCTAATAAGCTGCAAAAAAAATGAGTATTTCTTTTCTAATTACTTAAAATCAAACACAACGAAGGAAATAAAAAGTAATCCTACGAATATCAAATACTGTGTACAGAATAAAGTTGCGTAGAATGAAACGAAATGGTTTTACGCCGTACTACACATTAGCCAACATCGCATTGTAAATATATCTAATGGGTGATTGTGATATGTTCCTCGCCTTCTCGTTCTTTTATATTTCTTCTCGACAAGAAGGCTTGGCATAAGTATGTATGGTCTACTGAAAGTGCAAGTCCAGCATTTATTTACACCATAGTAAAAATCTAAACACTCATTTTTATTAAGTAATTGATTTACTAGAAAGCGTGCAAGTGTGTATCTCATATACTTTATTAAGCGTTAATAGTATTACCGGGATACTTGTTCCTTGCCTTGAAAGTTTCCTTCGGAAATTCAACTTCCGGTTTGATAAATCCATCATTATTGTTCTTTGAAAATAACGAATAATAGCTGATATTTCTTCAATCAAAAAACTATATATAATCCTTTATTATAACAGACAGATATCACCGATTTTATTAATGTAAATCAGATTTAATTATTTTTGAAGAATAATAATGATGGATGCATCAAAGCCGAAGAACAATTTCCGAAGAAACACCTGCTACTTGAAACGTGAGATTATTTTACCATATTTCATTGAATCATGAAAGAATCCTTCATTGTAAGTATTGATTTGACGATTGAACATTCAATTACCTAACAATAGCATGTAATCCTAGAATATGTCTCTTGGTTGCTGTGTCATGTCTGTGTAGTTTAGTAGCTATGGTATGAAACCTCTATGTTAGTTAATGTACTATTATTCTGTGGTAGTCATGTCATAAATCGCATAGGGTGAAGTTGTTTGTTCTGATTTTCTTTATTTTCAAATGTTATCAGAATTTTATGTTTTTCGTATTATTTCACTTCTATTTTTAATTTTAAAGTAGGATTCTATAAACGCAATATGTATTGAGGAAAATAGTGTTTCTTTGTGAATATATGTATATGTGTTTGTGTTTTTATTATTTCGACATAAAATGAAGGTGGACACACTGTGGAGGCGACGAGCTGCTGTAAACGTCGCAGGTTTGTACATTTAATTTACTTGGATATTACACATGAAGGAACGTAAAGAACAATGTCAGTTTTTTCACTCTATTTTTGTGATATGAACCTACTCTAGATTTGAGTTGGTTCAAAAACATTTTACATACAGCACATAATTCTATTTGCATTTAATTTAATTAATCTGATATATCTAATCTTATAATTTTTGACTCAGATTTGAAAAATTATCAGAACAAAGAAATACAATTTCTGTAAAGATACATAGTAAGGGCATTAGCGGCCTTATTGGCCTTCATTCTCACAGTGATTTTATGTTGTATTTTTTTATTTTATTAAAACCATATTTTTATCTTCTATTCTATTATCCGGATGTCTTATATATAAAATTAACCATGAGGTACATGATTTAGTCCAAAAAAAAATGTGTGCATTGGTCATAGTTTAAGGTTTTGGGAAGGGTCAGGGAAAATAGCAATAACAGGTGAAGATTTTGGGATTGAAATCAATCTCTATAAACATGATGTCTCAATTTAAACTTTTTAATGTACTAAAATTAATAGATAGAGCCATTTTGGTAACAGTTTATTTATTAATTAATCTCTCACAACAATGAGTACACTTAGAATTACATTAAAACAAGGTTTATATACAAGTGCCCCATAACATATAGGAGGCACCACTTTTTATAAGAACACAGTTTCATACATGTTTGTTAAAATATGAATATTGTAGGTATAAAAACCAATCCAAAGTTCATTAGATAATTGTGAAAATTTTAAAATGATTAAGTTGTAATGGCTTTATTAAAAAACAAAAAAAGCAACTCCATAGAGTTGCTCTAGATAGGATTATTGCATATTTATTGATAAAATTTTTGCAGATAGAGATTTCTATCCAATCCTCTTGTATGTTTATTATACATACAATACTTACATACTTTACATACAATACTTTAAATAATATCACTGTACTGTACATATGAAATAATTGTGTATTGGTTTTGATTGATTTTTTAAATTTTAATGCTTATTCTGTAATAATTGTAAATTTTCAGTTTTTTTCTGCAATATTTCACCCACCTTTTTTTAATAATATTCTATTTAAACAATACATATAGTTTAAACAAAACATTACTACACAATGAGAAATAAATATAAGATATAAATAGACCATAATGGTGAAGCTGCTGGATGAAAACTTGTTGTTATTGAAATTGGTTCAGCATTTTATTTTTATTGATGTGAAATTTTATATGACAATTATAGTCAGAGTCAGTAATCATTTAATCCGGTACTATGAACTATTTCATTTCATTTATTACTGACTCTGACTATGGTTGTCATATAAAATCTTAAAGTTGAATAATTGCATTAGTAATTCTAAAATATTACCACTAGAACTAGAGAGGTTGTAAATGGGACATATTTATTTAGTTTCATAGCTTATAACTATCATTATACTGATGTAGAGCCCATTGTGATAAGCAAAAGTGATATCAAAATTAATCAATTAACAGAACAAAATACCCTTTATTACATCACCTTTTATAATTTTTTATAAAATCAGCAGTCTTTAACTTTTAATATTAGGCTAATAAAATATGTTTACAACCATTAACAATGCTTAACTCATTTTATGTTTATCCCTCAAATTCAGTTGATCTTCAGATTTGCTAACTTTATCAACATTACAAGAATAAATAAATTACTACCAGATGCTTTCGAGATCGCTTAGATCTTTCCATTCAGGAATTACCTGCAGCAAGGGATAGCTTCTCTCTGCACTGATAGAATTTGAGATAGACACTATCCCTTGTATGCTACCTTTGATCAAACCCTGGACCACTAAGATGATGATACCTCAAAACCGGTGTGCAAGCCACTTGACAGGTCATCAATAATATTGTCAAAAGATACCTGTAAATGGTAGATATTCATCTATATTATAAAACTAATAGTTGCATAATTGCCTAAATTCCACCATAAAGTGGATCTATTTTGGTTCCTGTTCTCCAGAAATCAAAGATGAAACGCTTCCTGCTCAAAATACCGATTTATTTTCTATCACAGATTTTACGTACCGTTAATCTGTCGCTCTCCGTTTTATCTGTACCTACATGTTATCACTCTCGCGCCACTTTTTGATAATAAAAAGTAATCTCATCTGTATCAAAAAATGTTGCATCTCGAAGAGAGACCACGTACGAAGTCTTGCCCCCTTTTAACTTGGAAGTAACAACATTTATACTAGTGGTTATTATCTAACCTCGTGAAACGATTTCTTTCTGAGCGAGCGTTTTCGAAAAACTTTCAAAATAATCTTCATTAACCGGTGATTTTCGAACCCTTCGAACAAACTATGCGAACGCATATGCTATTGAAACTGGGCCCAACAGAGTAATGAAATGTATGTACACATGTCTAGCAGCTGCAGTAATATGGGACCAAATTCTTGATCCGTCTTTAAAGGACCTATGGTATGTGCATATGTATGTGCTTAAAAACAAATAAATTTTGTGGTGTTTTTTTTTTCAAATATGCAATTATAGTAATATGATCTCGATCTCAACGGTGGTCCAACTCGCCTGACTGGTGCTTTTTTTATATATCACCTCTATCGTCCTAGTTTCTTAGCTCCAGTGTTTGTTTACATAGGTAGTAATATAATGTACACTACAATCTCGTCAGTCAGATACTGCTGCCTTATTTAAATTTTAATGGGTAGTTTTCATTCAATCATTAATGATGAAAGTATATAATTTCGTACTATTAAGTACATATTATGTCAGGTGATTTTAAACAAAGTGTAGCGTTGAAGTGAAACCCAACGTGAGATTTGCTCTCGATAATGAAAGCCGGCAAGTTCACATTGTTCGAGCATTTCGCGGTCGGACCCAGAAATGTATTACTTACTGGAAAGTGGTGACTTCGCCTCAAAACTTTCTTCTGGTGTGTGTGTTTACATTAGCTTTCGTGCGTATAGTTTAGATTTCGTACCCGTTAGGTCTTCCGTTGCATTTTATGATGTTATATTTTAAAACGTATAAATTAATAGCAGCAACTCGAGCAATATTCTGATTGATGACAGAAAATCTCCAACAGGCTTGAGCGCCTGTTAAAAGGTGTCGCTTTTTGTACGGTATTACCGATAGTAAAATATTTTTGACGGGCCGGGTTCGATTCTCGAAAGCAGTAAAATTAACTTTCTTTATCGTCTGCGTGTTGTGGTGCCTTGATTGTTTCACATTTTCTTAATACAAGGATACTTTAGCTACTTAGTAGTTGTTACGTCGTCGTCTAATATGTGTCGCATATTTATTCATTTAAATTTTACACGGACGACAGGGAATACGCAGGGGCAGGTGCGGAGTAATAATTATGTACTAGAGTCGCGTGCGGTGCATGTTTAGGGCGCCAAAAGTGCGGGCCGAAGCGCCAGGTGGAACAAGTGGTACCTAACCGGGCAAGCGCAGGGGACGCGGACGGGCCGCGTTCATGCGCAACGGCTCACGTGTGTTGACCCATTGATTGTATACCAATAAATCACATTTCTTATTATATTTCCATGTTTGCAGTGCAACATGGATCTATAGTCACTGCGACCTGAAAGGTTTATTGTGACTCACCGTATCTCTTTTAGCCTGTCAACCTCCAATAACGTCTTTAGCGATTGAATATCTTCTGAACATGCAACAGGTATTGCATTCCCAGAAATATTATTTATGCAAAACAACATTTAAATAAAACGCCATTTATCGGTAAATAGGAACATGTGGATTGTAGTGGCAACAAAGAAGTTGAAATATTCTCGATAAGAACTTAAATCTCAGTAAAGCTTCAATTTATTAGTCGACAGTCTTGTTCATTTGTCTTTTCTTAATGTAATTAATTACAGTCATATCTACAGATTTAACACAGGATATTACCCAGTGGCCGTGGCCTGTTTCTCATGTTCATTTCACATCAATATTTGATATTGTTCTCTTATCTCATCTGTCGTTAAGGATTAATTAATAAATCATTAAGGAACACTGAACAAAGTACGGCGGGTGCAGTTCTGTGTGAAAGCTTACCGAACATGAAGCGCAGACGATGAACTGTTCCAAGCGGCATACATATTAACTTTTACCTTTGTCAACAATAAATCATCATTCTTCGACTAATTTATATTAAACTTTAATGTTTTTTACACCCAGATTCTTTTAATGTAATATGCATTGTTTTTTTTTTTCCAACTGTTGAACGATTCAAATGTTTTTTTAAAGGATATTTTCGCTCCTAAAGTGCCCTTATAAACATTGAATCAGTACTTTTCTTTGTATTTTTTATTGTAATTAACTCTTGGCAGTGTGGCAGTTATTCATGTTCAGGCAAACTTTGTTACCCGCTTACATCAGGGGGAACTTATATTCTTTTTTTTGTACATTTATTCACGTTACTTTTTTGCTATCAAGTGTCATTTATTACATTTATGCAAAATTGTTGTGGAATTTTTGAATAATATAAATATTCGCTTTGTTCTATAAGGACTAATTATATGTTCAACCTAAGTCCTACAGACTTTGAAAGTTGTATTTATTATTGTGATAATACATATTATTTTGGTAATGACATGATTTATGTAAATGTCATTACTTATGATAAAGAGCTGGTAAGTTTCTTTCGCTTGTTTTTCTTGTCAGCTAAAAGACGTCCTGAACAAGTGGTAGGGGAAAAAATTTTTTTTTGGACGATTCAAAAGTGCTTGTAATAGCCTACTCGAATAAAGATATTTTCATTTCATTTCAGTATGGTTAAAGGGCATCCATTTTTTGTAGTGGCTCTTTAGATTATCGCGGTTCATGAGTCCACTTAACGTTGTTTTTTCTGTCTAAAATATGGTTTGTTATAACGTCGTCGTCGCGTCGGGCTGGGAAAGTAACAATCATAACGGCATAGTCGCTTCTGAGTGGGTTCACGTGCAACGCGACACAAACATAACTTCGGATATTTTTTTTTATATTCAATGCAGTTTAGCCC